TTCTAACATCCGAATTATAGGGGTACCAGAAGGGGAAGAGGAACAGCCACGAGTGGAAAACTTATTTGAACAAGTAATAAAAGAGAACTTCCCCAACCTGGCAAAGGCAATAATAGACTTCCAGGAAATCCAGGAAGCTCAGAGAGTCCCAAAGAAGTTGGACCCAAGAAGGAACACACCAAGGCACATCATCATTACATTAGCCAAGATTAAAATGAAGGAGAGAATCCTAGAAGCAGCAAGAGATAAGGGGACTGTCACCTACAAAGGAGTTCCCATCAGACTGTCAGCGGATTTCTCAAAAGAGACCTTAGAGGCAAGAAGGGGCTGGAAAGAGGTATTCCAAGTCATGTAAACCAAAGACCTACAACCAAGATTGCTCCATCTAGCAAAACTTTCATTTAGAATGGAAGGGCAGATAAAGTGCTTCTCAGATCAGATCAAATTCAAGGAATTCATCATCACCAAGCCCTTATTATATGAAATGTTAAAGGGACTTACCTAAGAAAGAGAAGATAAAAAAGATGAACAATGAAAGGACAGCAAACTCAGTTATCAACAACCACACCTAAAACAAAAGCAAACTGAAAGGACAGCTAGATCAGGAGTGAACCATAGAAATGAAGATCACATGGAGGGTTAGCAACAGGGGAGTGGGAGAAGGAGAAGGGGGGAGAAGGTACAGAAAATAAGTAGCATAGACAGTAGATAGAAAATAGATAGGGGGAGGGTAAAAATAGTAGGGGAAATATAGAATCTAAAGAACTTGAGACATGTGTTCATGAACTAAAGGGGGGAATGGTGGGGGAGGGGTGCAGGGTGGAGGGGAACGGAGGGGGGAAATAGAACAAATGTAATGGCATAATCAATTTTTAAAATTTACTTTAAAATTTTTTTTTAAAAAAAGAGAAAAGAAGTATCACATGCCCTGTGTATGCCCAACTCTGTTCTAGGCTTCAAGAAACGCAGCAATAAACAGAAAAATATGAAACCTAGTCCTTGTGGAGCCTTCCTTTTATTGGGCTGGTTTATGACTTTTATTCTGTAAATAGAATATACATATACAAAGAATAATGTCTAAGTGCCAGACAGGCACAGTACTAGTCTGTAATAACATTTCTATCATCCTGAGGGAAATTGAGAGAAATAAAGGCAATTTAGGGAGTTTTTCATGAAGATTTGGTTATTGTACACCTTAAAGGAAGGACATGGATGAGATCATAGCATACATATTTTTATGTGAAATAATGGTGTTATGAGATGTTAGTGGGGTTTTTTTAATTCATTTCTAGAGATAGGGGAGGGAGAGGGAGAGAAACATCTATTTGTTGCCTCTTGCACGCCCTCTACTGGGGACCTGCCAACAGGGCAGGTTCCAGGCATGTGACCTGACAGGCACTCTAACCAGAGACCTTTCGGTTTGCAGGCTGGTGGTTCAATCCACTGAATCACACCATTCCATGGCTGGTTTTTTTTTTTTTAATCTATAGAGGGGAAGGGAAAGAGGGAGAGAAATATCAATGTATGGTTGCCTCTTGTGTGCCCCCTGCTGGGAACTGGCCTGCAACCCAGGCATGTGCCCTGACTGGGAGTCAAACCGCAATCCTCTGGTTTGCAGGCCTGTGCTCAATCCACTGAACTACGCCAGCCAGAGCAACGGTGGGGGGGTTTTAAAAAGTGTTTGTATTTTTAACCTGGCTGGTGTAGCTCAGTGGATTGAGCGCGGGCCTGCGAACCAGACAATTGAGGTTCGATTCCCAGTCAGGGCACATTCCTGGGTTGCAGGCCGGTTCCCTGCAGGCCGGTTCCCAGCAGGGGATGCACGAAAGGCAACCATACATTGATGTTTCTCTCCCTCTCTCCTTCCCTTTCCCTCTAAAGATAAATAAATAAAATATTAAAAAAAATAAAAAGTGTTTGTATTTTTAATATCCCCATTACCAGTCAAGTTAAGATGGTTTTCCCACTTTGGGGGGAATATATACTGGTACATGAAGTCATAAAGCATGGAAGGACTAATTTTTAATTTAGTTTTTTATTCATCACAATTTACAATGTTCTTTAATGTAACTTAATTGGATTCTTACAGCACAATAAGCGTAAAAGAGGGGAGCAGATGGGGGCAGGGAAAACCTCAGACCACAAGGCAGATGTGACCATCTCAGCCCGGTCAGTGGGAGACTCTGAAGCAAGGATTACCTAGAGTCCCTGTCAGACAGAAGTCGCCTGTGTCCTCTGAGCTTCATCGTTAACTGGGGGCTGCTGGGAAAGAGCAGGGCCAAGGGAGTCCCAGAGGTGCTGCCCATTAGCCTCGTGCTTTGCAGGTGAATGGCAAGCCCTTAAAATCTGAGTGGCAGCCTCCATGGCTGCCACACTTTTTTCAGATTTTTCAGAAATTTTTCAGATGAGCAAGCCAAGCCTAACTTGCTGAAAAACAAACAGGTAGACAGTGAAGCCAGGACGCTGACCCCACTTTCTGACCATTGTTACTGTTTTTCTGTTGCACCAGGAAGCATGTACGAGTTTTTCTTGAATGTTTCCCATGGGAGAGAAATTCAGTACGTGCAGAAATGCACAAGGCAATCTTTAGCAGAGGAGAAAAATGTATTCTGGGTAATTATGGTGTAAAAGAGTAGTGTAGTGCTGGAGGAGGAAGCACATACATATGCCCTCGCCTCGTCCTGCTGTAGGCTGTCTGGGAAACCTTCAGGGAATCAGGAGTGGCATTTGAGCTGATCTTGAGGGTCAGAGAGGTTTACAACTCTTGGAGTTAAGAAAGGAGGATGGACCTTCAGAAGAAGGAAAAAAACTGAGCAAAGGTCTGGAGAGCGTGGTGGGGCTTTCTGTCTTGGAATATGTGTGTGTAAACTTCTGGAGAGTGAGGAATAGTCGGTCAGAAGAGGCAGCCAAGCCGTGGATCTAAGAAGTGGTGGGTTGGATGGGTATGTGTGATGCAGATATAAGATAGTCAGACTACCAGTGATCTAGGAGAGGAAGATGAGGCAAGAGAAACTAGGTGAGTAGCTTCTGGTTAACTGTATGAAAAAGGAATGACCTGTAAGTTTTCTGTCCCTGGCTGCTTTTTATTTTTATTTTTATTTTTATTCATTTATTATTTTTCATTTTTTAATCCTCCCAATAAAGTCATTTAAAAAAGAAAAAACAAGCCCCTGACGATATTTTTTCATTGCTTATAAAGAGAGAGGAAGAGGGAGAGAGAGAGACATCTCATCAACTTGGTTGCCTTCTCCCACGTACCCCGAATGGGGATCAAATCCACTACCTGGGTATGTGCCCTGACCAAGAACCCATGACCTTGGGTCTGTGGGACGATGCTCCAACCAACTGAGCCATATCAGCAGCTCCCTGGCTGCTTTTTACTGTATTAATAGTGTTTTCACCAGGGAGGGCTGAAACTGCTGTGGAGCGTATTTTATTTCAGTTCTAATGAATAGGCCCAAGACTGCCAGCTGGTCTCATGACTCCTACCTAGCCTGGGAGCTTTACTTTAGGTCACTTGGCCCATTTCTTTTGTTACTTTTCCTGTTGCTCTCTGGTTTTGTCAAAACCGCATGGGGCCTTGTCTGGTGTGGCTCGTGGGATTGAGCACTGGACTGTGAAGCAAAGGATCACCAGTTCGATTCCCAGTCAGGACACATGCCTGGGCATGTGAGAGGCAAACACACACTGATGTTTCTCTCCCTCTCTTTCTTCCTACCTTCCCATCTCTCTAAAAATAAATAAATAAAATCTTAAAAACAAAACAAAACTGCACAAGATTAGTTCGGACTGGTGTGGCTCAGGAGTTGGGCGTACTCCCACAAACCGAAAGGCCGGCAGTTCGAGTCCCAGTCAGGGCACGTGCCTGAGTTGCGGACCAGGTCCCTGGTGTGCAACTGAGACAACTGAGCAGTGTTTCTCTCCTTTTCATGCTCTCTCCCTTCGTCTCACTTTAAAAGTGAGTAAATAAAAAAGGAAAAACAAGCCCTGCAGGGCATTAGAACCCGAAGTCCTGGTTCTCCGACAGAACCTCTCCCCTTCTGTCTACAAGGGTGGCTCCCTCCCTGTCTGCTTTGCTCTCCACCCCCACCCTGCCCCTTATTTTGGTAGCCAGGTAACAGGTGGCTGTTACTACCTCTGTTACGTTGGCCTTTCAGGTTGGAGTTCTCTGCTGGGACCAACTTTTAAAATATTTAATCTATACTTAGAATTAATTGGTCTACTATGGGGGAGGGAAGCCGAGAGGATGTGTGAGGTTATGTGTGAGGGAGCCTTTCTCACATGGCTTTGTCTCTGCTGTCAGAAGTCTATCATTTCACCCTTTCAGTGCCACAGTGTGTGGTGGTGTGTCTTATTTTGAGGAGGATGTGCTGACTCAGCATCTTTCTAACCAGCTCTGTCTTCTTGTCAGCTTCCTAGGCTGCTACTTGGAAAGTACAGACAGGGAAGCCATCAGAGCGCGCGCGCGTGTGTGTGTGTGTGTGTGTGTGTGTGTGTGTGTCAGAGAGCGAGTGCATGCATGCGAGCACCTATCTGTACATTCCAGTGGTCTGTCTGAAAAAGTTGGATATGTCTTTGAGAAGAGTCAGAGATTGCCCCAGGCTCAGGGTACACAAATCCCATGAGAAAGGGCAGCCAGGGGAAGTCTCCCTTCAGTCTTTCTGGTCTTATCGTTGAGTGTTTTACTGGCTCACTCTTGCAGGGTTGAGCAGTCAGGAAGTAGGTCAGCACTGGGTAAGGGTAGAGGGGTAGCAGGCAGCTGGAGAAGTGGACCAGTTACATAAAAGCTGGGAGATAACATCAGGCATTAAACCTTAGGTCTCAGGATACTGCACGTTTCCTGCAGGGGCACTTGGGAGGGGTTGGCCTGGAGGGAGGTGTGGGAGAGAGAAAGGCTTTTTTAGAGGAAGCCGCCACAGCTAAGAGCAGCATGGCTGATCGTGCCAAGGGGACAGGAGTGATGGATATTTCCTGCTTCCACAGAAGCAGGGTGGTAAATGCAATGCGTTTGTGTGGGTCTGTGTTATTAGTGTCAGCTACCGAAATATCTGGAGTTTTGCGTCTGTGCTTCCTTGATTGTCTGATGAAGGTTTAGGGATCTTAGTTAAAAGGTAGCATGCTTTGGAAAAGGAAGATGGTTCTCCTGGGGAAAGTGACAGGAAATTTCACTGGTTCCTATCCTCCCCTGTTCTGTTAGATACTGGCTTCTAGGAAGATTACCAAAACTTAAAGAGTAACTCTGGGGGGGAGAATGAAGGAACGTCACCTACACATTTTCAGGGCCTCGGAAGCCTCTAGGCTCCTGCGACAGATCAGATCCGAAGAGGAATCACTGTGGTGAGGGCTGGGCTTTCTTAATTCTTATGGTATGTAAGAGCTGTAACCGTGGATGTGGAAAGGCTGTGGAAGGGGACTGGGTCTGGTGACTTTAAGGGAGAAGGAAGTTTGTTCTCCCCTTCCTCCAGAAGGCTGCAGAGTTCTCTAAGGGGAAAAGTCTCCATGTTTGGTGCCTCTCTCTAACCAAGGTCACCAAGGTCACCTCGACTCTGAACCAGACTGTTTCTAAGGTTTCCGATCCACGGGGCAGAGCACAGGGCAGGTGCCTAACTCCTAGGCTTGGCCTCTGCCGTTTTGGTTAGGTAGGAGCATTCACTAAAAGCTTTCCCTGGGACTGGGAACAGCACTTGGTTCTGACAAAAGTGAAGCGTTTGAGGATCTTGTGGAGGATACTCTGAGCATTAGGGCCCTGTCCTGTAGTTCCCTCTCCTGAAAGGGAGAGGGTCCTACAACTGTTATTTTCCCTCATCTCTGCAGGCCTCATCACTGTTGTCTCCCCTGCATCCACCTGCCTTACTTATATCTCCACTGGCTGCTCCACTGATATATGAACTTGTACCAGATGAATTGCGAACTTCTAGCCACGTGTAGTGCCCTTGGGTACTTGGAGGGAGACACTTACCACAAGGAACCAGATTGCATAGGTGAGTACCTATTTGAGGGAACAGGTAAAAAATTTGCTTGTGTTGCGGAGGACTGTTGAATTTCTGAAGCCTTGTGTATGAAAAGCACTTGGGCTAGGTGGGGCTCCTTCCAGGGGTCCGTATAAACATGTGTTCTGTCCCTGAAGAGAGTGTGAAGGACCTGATCCGCTACTTGAGGCATGAGGATGAGACGCGAGATGTGCGGCAGCAGCTGGGGGCAGCCCAGATCTTGCAGAGTGACCTTCTTCCCATCCTTACCCAGCACCACCGGGACAAGCCTCTCTTTGATGCTGTTATCAGGTTGTTTTCCCAGCTTTTCCACTTTTACCACGTGCCTGAGTTGGGTGTTTCAGCTGACAGATTTTGGTGTTTGCGCCTGGTGGGAAAACATAATAACTTGTCCCTCCTTCATTGTTTCCCCAGGCTGATGGTGAACTTGACCCAGCCAGCCTTGCTCTGTTTTGGTAGTGTGCCCAAGGAGCCTAACTTCCGGCACCATTTTCTACAGGTGCTCGTTTACTTGCAGGCCTACAAAGAGGTGAGGTTCTCCTTCAGAGTCCCTGGGGCAGAATTGGGGGCATTGTGGAAGGAGAGGGTGGGAGCTACTTAAGGTCCATTCCTTTGTTTTGTAGGCTTTTGCCAGTGAGAAGGCTTTTGGGGTCCTCAGTGAAACCTTGTATGAGCTGCTACAGCTGGTGAGTGAGTCTCCACCTTCCGAGATCCCAAGGACAGTTAGCACCTTGCTCCTCCTCTGGGTAGAGCACTGGGTTCAGCATTGTCAGGACAGCCTGAGTTTGGAGATACGGTCCCGGTCTCATTGTCTCTGGCTACCTCGGGGCTGCTTGAAGTCCTCCTTTTCTTTCTTTCTTCCTTCTTTCCCTTTCCCTTCCCCTTCCCCTTCCCCTTCCCCTTCCCATCCCTTCATTTATTCCTCCCCCCAACCCCCAAATACAAGCAAAATTTTATTTAGAGAGTCACAGAGGCCCTGGCTGGTGTGGCTCAGTGGATTGAGCACCGGCCTGCAGTCCAAAGGGTTGTGGATTTGATTCCTAGTCAGGGCACATGCCTGGGTTGCAGGCCAGGTCCCCAGTAGGGGGCACGTGAGAAGCAACCACACATTGTTGTTTCTCTCCTTCTCTTTCTCTCTCCCTTCCCCTCTCTCTAAAAATAAATAAATAAAATCTCTAAGAAATATATGATGTTATAAAGAAAATCACAGAGGTAGAAAAAGTGAGCCAGCTGGACTACATGGGCTCAGGAAACAAGTTACAGAGGCAAAAGGAGGGAGGAAGAAAGGAGAGAGGGAGCTTTTTTCTTTCTTTTAAATTCTGATTTTCCTCTGTGTCTTGGTCTCCCAGCCAGGGTGGGTGTTGCCTGCCTTCCACGAGGTTCCCCAGAGCCGCTGCAGATAAAATAAAGAGTTGTCCTGGATGCAGTCTTACTGCTCCGGCAGGAAAAGGGGTCGCAGTCTCCTCCAGTGGAGAATGCCCCCAGCCCTTCTCTGACATGGCTTTTCTTAGGGTTGGGAAATGCAGGGGGAGATAGCACACAGTGCTGCGCATAGCTTATTAATCACTGTCCAACAGGCTGTAGTCATAAAAAACTAACACTATCTATAGATGATAATTAAACACAGAAATCTTTTCAGGTTGGGGTCTGCGAGACATGCAGGTGCCTGATGGCTGTAAAGGCACATTTCGTGAAGTAGGGAGTTTCACTTCTTATGCCTTGAACTCAAGCATCTGGGTTATACTAACGGGGCTTATCGCTGAGCAGAGCCAGCTCCAGAGGACAAAAATGTACATTTCAGGCCTGATTCCCACGGGACCTTCGGTATTAGACTCAAGTCATGCCTGCCCCTTGCGTTATGACCTGGTTTTCCAGGGAGACTTACCAGCCCCTTTCAGACCATGCTCTCGTGGGGCTGACAGTCTTCGAAACCACGCACAGCGGCCCCCAGCAAGCCTCTTCCTCCAACTCTGCTTCTGACTAGGGCTGGGAAGAACGGCAGGAGGAAGACAACTTGCTGATAGAGCGGATCCTGCTCCTGGTCAGAAATATTCTCCATGTCCCAGCCGACCTTGATCAGGAGAAGGTGGGAAAGGGTCCCAGGTTGTCTGAGTTCTTGTGCTTGGTTAGGTTGTGCTGCCCTTTTTGGCTTTTTTGTCCTCCGACAAGTCTGGGCGGGGAACCTCGGTTGAGGCAGGGCCGTGGGACTGACTGACTCCCGTCTCCCCTCACCACTCACTGCTCAGAGGATCGATGACGATGCCAGCGTCCATGACCAGCTTCTCTGGGCAATTCACCTCAGTGGCCTGGACGACCTCCTCCTCTTCCTGGCCAGCTCGCCCACTGAGCAGCAGTGGAGCCTACATGTTCTCGAGATCATCTCCCTTATGTTTCGTGACCAGGTGAGACCCTGGCCCATTGCCCCGTTTCTTCATGCATGTACTTTTCTGCTGTGCAGCCACAATTACTCTTACAATAGTGGCTGAACTCTGCGGGGAGAGGGACGACAGAAGAGTCACCTGTTGAGTGTAGGGTCCCATCAGTGATCCCATTTCGTTCACTGTCCCCAGTAGGAATGGACTCCAAGTAAGGAAGGACCATCCTTCTGACTCTTCCCTCCATGTTCCAAATCTAGAACCCGGAGCAGCTGGCAAGAGTAGGACAGGGGCGCTTAGCGCAGGAGCGGAGCACAGATGTGGCCGAGCTGGAGGTGCTGCGCCAGCGAGAGGTGGCGGAGAAGAAGAGTCGAGCCCTTCAGCGAGGCAACAGGTGAGTGTCGGGAGCTGCTCTGGCCGTGTTCCCGTTGCTTCGCTGTGGAATGCTAGGGCCTGGGAAATGCTTAACTTTTAAGCCAGTGGTGACCAGATAGCATTTTTGCAGTTAGAACATGCTCTGACATGCTAATGACAGAGAATGGGGCTAAAACTTCCAGGGAATTGTGGGCTCACCCTGAATGTTTATGTTTATGTTTTTGTTTTGTGTTTTCACTGCAGGCATTCTCGATTTGGGGGTTCTTACATTGTTCAGGGGTTGAAATCTATTGGAGAGAGGGACCTCATCTTCCACAAAGGCCTCCACAATGTGAGTGTGCTCCCATCCGGGGTGGGAGCTCCGTCTCGGGGAGTCAGGGAGCCTAAGGATAAACGTCTCTGGAGGTAAAGCTTCTCAGTTAGGAGACTCAGAGCAGGAGACTGCAGGAAAAATAGGGCTTCTGGCATTATTGTCTTCACCGCTGCCTTCGCTTAGTTCCAGAGAGGGAGAGCTTTCTAAGAGTTTCTTTTGAGAAAACTGCAGAACCAGGGACGTGGGAAGAGCTGCAAGTGGAGGGCAGTTGTTAGGAGTGATTTTAATCCCTGACCCATCCCACCAGCTCCGAAACTACAGTTCAGACTTGGGAAAGCAGCCACGAAGGGTGCCTAAACGTCGCCAGGCTGCCCGGGAGCTGTCCATTCAGCGCCGCTCTGCCCTCAATGTGAGACTCTTCCTCAGAGACTTCTGCTCTGAGTTCCTGGAGAACTGTTACAACCGGCTCATGGGCTTCGTGAAGGTGAGAGCCTCGGAAGGATGGAGTAGAGAGGTCACTGGGCCAGTGGTGGGCAAGAAGGGCCACCTGGGGAGGATCCTGTGGGCAGCTGACCCTGGAGTGTGGACTAGTAGGTGGGAAGGATATAAGGTGCCCCTGAGAAATGGTGATGATGTCAGAAGGGTAGCAGGTTAAAAGTCTCTCAAGAAACATCCCTCCAGGGGAGGGGAGAATGAATGTGGAGACACCAGGAAGAAGAAGAAAGGCTTGAAATCATGGGTCCTAGAATATTGTCATCGTGGTGTCCAGGGTCCTCCCAGTTATCGCGGGACAGGAGGACACTGGAAGCCCTGAGGTCACAGAATGGTCTTTTTCCCTGGATGTTAGGATAACCTGCTTCGGGAGAAAGCTCAACAGCATGATGAGACCTATTACATGTGGGCCTTGGCTTTCTTCATGGCCTTCAACCGGGCTGCCTCCTTCCAGCCAGGCCTGGTCTCTGAGACCCTCAGTGTCCGTACCTTCCACTTCATTGAGCAGAACCTCACTAACTACTATGAGATGATGCTGACTGACCGCAGGGAAGCTGCCTCCTGGGCACGCCGGTGAGTGGGTGAGAATTGGAATGCGCGAACAGACTTCTTGGCCAGGATAGGAATCTGAGGGCCTGAGTTCTGGATGGTGCTTTCTTTTCTGTTTCAGGATTAAGGTGGTCAGGCTGGGGAGCAAGGACTGGCTGGCCATTTGGGTTTTAATGGCACTGTTTTGGGGGGAGTGGTACTGTTTCCATGAGCCTATGTCCTAAGACTTTGGAGTGTCCAACCTTCCGGCATCCCTGTGCCTCACTGGAAGAAGAGTTGTTTGGGGCCACACATTAAATACACTGCAACACATAATCTCAAAAAAATCTCATAAGGTTTTAAGTAAATTTATGATTTCGTGTTAGGCTGCATTCAGCAGCTGTTCTGGGTTGCATGCAGCCCGAGGGCCGCAGGTTGGTGGCCCCTGTAAGTTGTCCTTCTCTTTCCCTCAACTCACAGGATGCACCTGGCTCTGAAGGCCTATCAGGAGCTGCTGGCCACAGTAAATGAGATGGACATGTCGCCAGATGAGGCTGTGCGGGAGAGCAGCCGCATCATCAAAAGTGAGGTCCTGGCACAGTGCCTGATTCTGGCCTTCCCTATCTCTTTTTTTTTTATTATTATTTAGTTATTTTTTAAGTACAGTTTTTTGTCTATTTCTCCCATCCCAGCCCCCCCCCCCCGTGCTCCCCACCTCCCTCTCATTTCCTCCCCCCCCAGTCCTCATCCCTGTGTCCTTCATACTTGTTCCTCCAAATCCCTCCCCTTTTTCCCCCTTAAATTCCCTTCCCTCCCCCCTCTGGTCACTGTCCCCTTGTTCTCTATTTCAGTGTCTTTGTTTTTATTCTGCTTGCTTGTTTGTTTTGTTGTTTAGCTTCCTGTTAAAGGTGAGATCATATGGTATTTGTCTTTCCACACCTGGCCTATTTCACTCAGCATAATGCTTTCCAGTTCCATCCATGTTGTTGCAAAGGGTAGTAGCTCCTTCTTTCTCTCTGCTGCATAGAATTCCATTGTGTATATATACGACAATTTTTTGATCCATTCATTTACTGATGAGCACCTAGGTTGCTTCCATCTCTTGGCTATTGTAAATTTTGCTGCTATGAACATTGTGGTGCATAGGTTCTTTGATATTGATGTTTTAGGATTCTTAGGATATAATCCTAGCAGTGGAATTGTTGGGTCAAAAGGCAGGTCGATTTTTATTTTTCTGAGAAAATTCCATACTGTTTTCCATAATGGTTGTACCAGTCTGCAATCCCACCAACAGTGAACTAAGGACCCCTTTTCCCCACAACCTCTCCAACATTTGTTGTTTGTTGCTTTGTTTATGATAGCCATCCTGACCGTTGTGAAGTGGTATCTCACTGTGGTTTTAATTTGCATCTCTCTGATAGCTAGCGATATTGAGCATTTCTTCATGTGTCTCTGGATAGTCTGTATGTCCTCCTTGGAGAAGTGTCTGTTCAAGTCCTTTTCCCATTTTTTAATTGGGTTAGATGTCTTCCTAGAGTGGAGTCGTGTAAGTTCTTTGTATATTTTGGAGATTAAACCTTTGTCTGAGGTATCATTGGCAAATATGTTTTCCCATACAGTTGGTTGTCTTTTTAATTTAGAACTGTTTTCTTTAGCCACGCAGAAGCTTTTTATTTTGATGAGATCCCATTTGTTTATTCTTTCCTTTATATTCCTTGCTCTAGGGGACATATCGGTAAAAATGTTGCTGCGTGGAATATCTGAGATTTTCTTGCCAATGTTCTCCTCTAGGACTTTAATGGTGTCGCAGCTTATATTTAAGTCTTTTATCCACCTTGAATTTATTTTGGTGTATGGTGTAAGTTTGTGTTCAAGTTTCATTTTTTTGCACGTAGCTGTCCAGTTCTCCCAACATCATTTGTTGAAGAGGCTATCTTTACCCCATTTTATGTTACTGCCCCCTTTGTCGAATATTAATTGACTGTAGAGAGTTGGGTTGATTTCTGGGCTCTCTGTTCTGTTCCATTGGTCTATGTGCCTGTTTTTATGCCAGTACCAGGCTGTTTTGATTACAGTGGCCTTGTAATACAGTTTGATATCAGGTATTGTGATCCCTCCTACTTTGTTCTTCTTTCTCAAAAGAGCAGCTGCTATTCGAGGTCATTTATGGTTCCATATAAATTTTTGAAGTGTTTGTTCTATGTCTGTGAAATACGCCATTGGTACTTTAATAGGTATTGCATTGAATCTGTATATTGCTTTGGGTAGTATGGACATTTTGATGATGTTCTTCCAATCCATGAACACGGTATATGTTTCCATTTGTTTGTGTCTTCCCTGATTTCTTTCTTCAGGGCTGTGTAGTTTTCTGCATACAGGTCTTTTACCTCCTTGGTTAGGTTTATTCCCAGATATTTTATTTTTCTTTTTGCTATATCAAATGGGGTTTTTTCCTTGATTTCTGCTTCTGCTGATTCATTGTTGGTATACAAAAATGCCTTTGATTTCTGGATATTGACTTTGTATCCTGCTGTTTTGCCAAATTCATTAATTAGTTCGAGCAGTTTTTCATAGAGTCTATAGGATTTTCCATGTACACTATCATGTCATCTGCAAACAGTGACAGTTTTGTTTCCTCCTTTCCTATTTGGATGCCTTTTATTTCCTTTTCCTGCCTGATCGCTGTTGGCCTTCCCCATCTCTTGACCAGCATTTTACTCTTCCCAGTCCCAACATCACCCATCTCCTTTTCCTAAACTTTCCAGACTAGTCCTTCCAATGCTTCTCTTTCCATTTCTAGACAACATTTTCTATGTGATGGAGTATCGAGAACTGTTCTTGGCACTCTTTCGAAAGTTTGATGAGAGATACCAGCCCCGCTCTTTCCTTGTTGACCTGGTGGAAACCACCCACCTCTTCCTCAGAATGTTGGAACGGTTCTGTCGGAGCCGAGGGAACCTGGTGGTGCAGGTACGGGGCAGTGTCGGGATGTAGAAAGAAACAGGGAAGAAAGGTGGAGGGCAGGAGCTCTGTCTCCTCCCATTTTCTGTAGCTGAAGCTGATTCGTTAGAGCTACTCTGCACTAAGAGGACAAGAGATGTTGCTGATGTGAGTCTACTTTAGTTTTCTTCTTTTATTAGATTAATCTCTGATAATTCAGGAAACTTATTATGTGCTAATTCTGGGGGTTCATATTATAGTTTAGTAATTTAAAAATTTTTTTATAAAAGATTTTATTTATTTTTAGAGAGAGGAGAAGGGATGAAGAGAGGGAAAGAAACATCTGTGTGTGATTGCCTCTACCGCACTCCCTACTAGTCACCAGGCCTACAACCCAGGCATGTTCCCTGACTGGGAATTGAAGCAGCGACCCTTTGGTTTGCAGGCTGGCATTTAATCCACTGAGCCATACCAACCAGGGCAGAGTTCAGTAATTATGTGGTGATATTTCCTGGTTGTACTTCTGAAGCACTATAGTGAGATGGGAAGAGCCTTTAATTGAAAGTCAGAAGGTCTGGGATCTCTTACTATATCTGTTGCTGTTAGAATAACTTAGTTGCTCATGTCAGTCTCCATAGTCCTAAAGCTGTTTGTAATACCTATCCACCAGCCCAAAGTGACATATAAATGAAAAGTCTGGCATAAGAAGAAAACCTCAAGAAATTTGTTTCCCAGACACAGGGACTCCGCTTTGTAAAGTTTTGCCTAGGGGTTGCCTTTTTTGCTGTAGCTTAAACTTCATCCAGAACTGGACGTAAAAGGGCAGCAGTATCAGAGAGACTTTCCTAAAAGGCATTTTTACACTCAGGGCTCCATGGTATTATCAGCAACAGTAGGCAATGTCATTTACTGGGTGTTCACCGTGTGTCGCACATTGTGCTGGAGTTTCCTGGGCATGCACCACTACTAGAACATGTGCACACGGTGGTTACGCAGGTTGTTCAAGGTTTACTGGTAAATGGCTAGCGTCTGTGCTCAGTCCAGGTCTGCTGACTCCAAAGCTCGAGCTCTTAACCTTTGGACTATGTAATTTTAAGGTCTTTGAATAGAGCATGAACCTTGAGGGCTGCGTAGTTCACCTGATTAGCCTGTACCAAAGACTTGGGGGTGCGGGCAGGGTATTGACTCTCTCTTTCTGTCCAGGAGAAAAAATTGTAGGCTATATTTACAAAGTGCTTTGCATTTTACAAAGCCTTTTTGTGTAGAATTTCCTATCCTCATAGAAAATCTGTTCATTCCATAGACTTCTGTTTAAGATGTCACTGCTTTTGGGAAACCTAACCCCAAGAAATGAGTCAATGGAATGACTGTGTTTTGCTGTTCCTGTGTTTTGCCATGGCATTTTCTGCTCAGCTACATTTTAGGTCCTGTCCACACTGAAATGTAATTTACCTGTCTGCCCCACTGGACTGGAAGCTCCTCAAGGGCAAGCAAATACGCTGTTCACTGCTGCTTCTCCACTGCCTTTGAGTAGCACGTGGCAGGCACTCTGTAAATGTCTAATTCAGACATCTAGTGAATCAATAATAGAAAAGACACGGATGGGGAAAGGCCTTCTTAGCTCTCTTGCCTTTTTTTTTTTTTTAAGAGAGAAAGGGGAAGGGAGGGAGAAAGAGAGGGAAAGAAACATCAAAGTGAGAGAGAAACAGCAATCAGTTGCCTCTTGCACACACCCAACTGGGAACCAGACCTGCGACCTTTCGCCTTGCAGAATGACGCTCACCCAACTGAGCCACACTGGTCAGGGCCTCTCCTGCCATTCTAAGATAGTTCTTTTTTCATAGAATAAACAAAAGAAGAAAAGAAAGAAGAAGAAGAAGCCCGTTGCTTCTGATAATGTCCCATACAGCCCAGGGGACCTGGAGGCCCTGTGGCCATCCCTGGCTGAGCAGCTGCAGTGCTGTGCCCAAGTAGGTAGTTGCAGAAACCTAGTCTTTTTCGAGGGTAGTGCTGTGGGTTGGCTGTCTGGGTTTCCCTCTTCTCCATTCCCAGAGCTTTAATCCCTCTCTAGGGTCCTGAGCTCAGTCTGGACTCCATGGTTCCCTTTGATGCGGCCTCAGAGGTGCCAGTGGAAGAGCAGCGGGCAGAAGCCATGGTGCGGATCCAAGACTGTCTGCTGGCTGGCCAGGCCCCACAGGCCCTGGCCCTCCTTAGGTCTGCCCGGTAAGGATGCCTGCCCACCCATTCTCCTGGATCCAGCTTTTGGGAGCAAAGGGAGGCTTTCACTGTGTTGTAAGACTCTCAGTCTTCAAAAGAGAGAAGTCCCATTGGAACCACTAGGGCTCTACACTGAGTACTGAGTTCTGGGGAGTTTTGATTGGTCTGTTGGTGGGCTTTGTTGTTTGATAAAACAAGAACAGAAAGCACCATTAATTAGAGGAAAAAATAAACATAATTCTAAGTGCCAAAGATAGTCATCATTAACATTTTGATGAGTTATCATCCAGAGTTTTTTTTCTGTATTAGACATATATACCTTCTTTTACAAAAATGAAATATTGTACATCCTGATTTATAGTATTTTTTCATTTCTCAGTAGATCATGAACACCATTTCTCATTAGATATATTCCCATAATTGTTAATGGCTTTAAAACACCATTGCATGAATATGTACATTTGTCCAACCACATGTCAAACATTTAGATTGTTTGCATTTGTTCTTACGTGATGTTCATTGCACTGTGGCTTATGGGGGAAAATTTCCCTAGAGTTGTTGTTACATCTTTGAGGTAATAGTTTGTATTCTCTTTCTGGCTGACAAATAGTTTGCATTCCTTTTTGGCTGACAAATAAGTCAAAATTCCTCCTCCCGCTTTAAATTATACCTCAGATTCCACCCTGGCTGGTGTAGCTCAGTAGATTGAGTGCCAGCCTGCGAACCAAAGGGTCGCCAGTTCAATTCCCAGTCAGGGCACATGTCTGGGTTGCAGGCCAGATCCTCAGTAGAGGGGGCACAAGAGGCAACCACACATTGATGTTTCCCTCTCTCCCTCCCTTCCCCGCTAAAGATAAATAAATAAAACCTTTAAAAAAATAAATTAAGACTTCAGCCAAGATAGAGGCCTAGGTGGAAACATTGTGCTTTCTCGCACAACCAAGTTTAAAAATAATAAAGTTTAGCAACAAAAACACAACCAAACCACAGAAAATTGACCTATACAGAAGTCTGACAACAACAAACCTTTCAACGAGACTGGTAAGAGGGGTGAAGCCAGCAGCAGAGCGGAGTTGGGCAGGAAAGATCCACCGGACCAACCCAGATGTGCGACCCAGGTGAGCAAGCAGCCGAGGGCAGATTCCAGGTGTGGAGTAGCAGTGGGCGAACCTACAGAGGGAGCAAGGCCGCAGGCTGACCGCGGTCACACATTCGCGTGCAGATAAACCAGCAAAAGAGCGAGCAGTGAGGCCCCAGCGGTGGGAAGCAGCAGAGGGGACCGCCATTGCGCCCCTTTGACCCCACCCCCACATACAGTGTCACAACCCAGCGACCTGGGTGGCCCCTCCCTGGTGAACACCTAAGGCTCCGCTCCTCATACGTAACAGGTTCAAACAGACCAAAACATGGCTCAAGAAGAACTCAAAGCCCCAGAGCCCATAACTCTAAGCAACGAAGAAATAGCCAAACTTTCAGATGCACCCTTCAAAACACTGGTGATCAGGATGCTCACAGAACTGGTTGATTTTAGTCACAAATTAGAGGAACAAGTGAAGGCTAAACTAATTGAAATGAAGGGAAATGCACAGGAAACCAATAGTGATGGAAAGGAAACTGGGACTCAAGGGAGTAGACCAGAAGGAAGAAAAAAACAACCAAACAGAAAACTATGAAGAAACAAGAATTCAAAAAATTGAGGAAAGGCTTAGGAACCTCCAGGACATCTTTAAACACTCCAACATCTGAATTATAGGGGTACCAGAAGGGGGAAAGGCACAGCCATCAGTGGAAAACTTATTTGAACAAATAATAAAGGAGAATTTCCCCAATCTGGCAAAGGAAATAGACTTCCAGGAAATCCAGGAAGCTCAGAGAGTCCCAAAGAAGTTGGACCCAAGAAGGAACACACCAAGGCACATCATCATTACATTAGCCAAGATTAAAATGAAGGAGAGAATCCTAGAAGCAGCAAGAGATAAGGGGACTGTCACCTACAAAGGAGTTCCCATCAGACTGTCAGCGGATTTCTCAAAAGAGACCTTAGAGGCAAGAAGGGGCTGGAAAGAGGTATTCCAAGTCATGAAAACCAAAGACCTACAACCAAGATTGCTCTATCCAGCAAAACTTTCATTTAGAATGGAAGGGCAGATAAAGTGCTTCTCAGATAAGATCAAATTCAAGGAGTTCATCCTCACCAAGCCCTTATTATATGAAATGTTAAAGGGACTTATCTAAGAAAAAGAAGATAAAAAAGATGAACAGTGAAAGGACAGCAAACTCACAGTTATTAACAACCACACCTAAAACAAAAACAAACTAAGGACAGCTAGATCAGGAGCAGAACCATAGAAGTGAAAGATCACATGGAGGGTTAGCAACAGGGGAATGGGAGGAGGAGAAGGGGGGAGAAGGTACAGAAAATAAGTAGCATAGCCCTGGCTGGTGTAGCTCAGTGGATTGAGCACGGGCCTGCGAACCAGACAATTGCGGTTAGATTCCCAGTCAGGGCACATGCCAGGGTTGCAGGCAGGTTCCCTGCAGGCCAATTCCCAGCAGGGGACGCACGAAAGGCAACCCATACATTGATGTTTCTCTCCCTCTCTCCTTCCCTTCCCCTCTAAAGATAAATAAATAAAATCTTTAAAAAAAAAAAAGAAAGAAAATAAGTAGCATAGACAGTAAGTAGAAAATAGATGGGGGGAGGGCAAGAATAGTAGGGGAAATATAGAATCTAAAGAACTTGAGACACATGGTCATAAACTAAAGGGGGGAATGGTGGGGGAGGGGGTGTGCAGGGTGGAGGGGAATGAAGGGGGGAATAGAACAACTGTAATGGCATAATCAATAAAACATTGCCGGGGTCCAGCCTCGGCAAGGGTCCAGAGATCCCGAAGGTGGGTAAGGCATCGGCAATGGGTAACATGACAACACGCCTCAAAGAACAGTGAAGCTCTGTTCCGTTTATTGCAAGTACAAGCAGGATTTTATATTTTCATTTAAGGTAGTGATTAACATTTGCAGGTGTATAGCATGATCAGTTAAGCAGAAAAAATCAATACAAAAGTAACCAGGAAAAGCACAAGAATTTCCATAGTTTCCGTTATATTAAACAAAAATTGTTTTGACCAGGAGAACCAATAATCAGACAATTTGAAATAGCTCTGTGTACAGAGTTTGAATGTCTTAATTGTATATTAAGGTTTCTCAGAATTTGTCATGGGGCAAAAGGATATGCTAGATTGAGTAGAGGTAATAGGAAATTTATTATAAGGCTTTTGTGATGTCTGACTTAGCTATTCTTTCTGTCTAAAATGTTTCTCTGTGTACTATAAACTGACTCTCTAGTAACTGATTCTACGTGTTTAGTTTGTAATAGTTAATTTCTTTGCCTGTCTAATTGATATATATTCTTATTCAAGGTAAAGGAGGGGCTGTTACTTCAACAACTTCTGAACATTCAGGGACTATTTCATTAGAGGGAACTTTGTTCTCTGATCAAGAAATTACTTTGTACAACTTCACTGGAATTATGCAAATCAATGAACCTGAAATATAAATGTCTAACAATTCCACTACTTTTTGATTACCCAAACAAACATGTAACTTGTTTTACTTATTTCTGGTACACTATGGCGGTCCTGATCGCTTTAAGTTGCTCAAACCAGGGTAATTTATACGACTTGACATGTTTTCCCTTATGGTTAATAATTACATTGCCCTGGCTGTCGTATTCCCCTGTATAAGGGAGAGGGGAATCTATGGAGATTTTTTCCATCCTTTCAGGCAGTTTCGTGGGGAATACTAATGTTTTCCCCTAAACTGTTCCCTCCTCTTGGGTGATTTTCACAGGAATAAGTAAGTACAGTTCAATGTCTATATTCAGTAGCAAGAGTAAAATAATTAAAATAAAACAGCCCATTGTTAACCCGTTTTGGATGCCACATTCTCCTCCAGGGAGACGAATTCCTTGAACTCAAATCCTCCATGCCTGGACCTTGTCAAACAACATGGTTGGAAGAGGGCGTGGCAAAACATATTTAAAAAATAAATTAAATGTAAAATAAGTAAATTGTGAGTCAGATTTTCTCTGGTTAAAGCCTTGTTTTTCTCTGTGTGTTTCAGGGAGGTATGGCCAGAAGGAGATGTGTTTGGCTCTCAAGACATTTCCCCAGAGGAGGAGATCCAGCTGCTGAAACAAGTCCTCTGTGCCCCGTTTCCCAGTGAGTCTCCATTTCCTTCACATCTCTCTGCTTCTAGCTTTCTCTAGCACCAGATGCCCAATAATCCTCACTCTTCTTTTAGGACAGCAGGGGCCAGAGGAACGGGGGGCAGAGGAGGAAGAGGAAGAAGAGGAGGAGGAGGAGGAATTACAAGTCGTCCAGGTGTCAGAGAAAGAATTTAATTTTCTGGACTACCTGAAACGGTACGGCCAAGAGGACTGAGCTGGTCCCAGGACAGAGATGGTGGGGCTGTGAGGATGAGCAGTGCCATGCTGACATCCTCTCCCTTCCTGTCTTGCTGCAGCTTTGCCACCTCCACTGTCATCCGAGCCTATGTTCTGCTGCTGCGGAGCTACCAGCGGAATAGTGCCCACACTAACCACTGCATTGTCAAGATGCTGCACCGACTGGCCCATGACCTCAAAATGGAAGCTCTTCTTTTCCAGCTCTCTCTCTTCTGCCTCTTTAATCGTCTGCTAAGTGATCCTGCCGCTGGGGCCTACAAAGTGAGGGGATACCAAGGAATGGGAGCCTTGGGGTTTAGGGGAGTCATGGGGTAAAAGGATAGTCTTCAGGAGGTAGAGGGCACTGAGGAGTGTCAGGGTCGTCTGGCTGAGGGGGCTGGGTGGGGAAGGACAGGAGAGAGTCCAAGTGAGGAGGGGGCAGCTGGGAATGTCTGTAGCAAAAATGCATAGAGGGCCCAGTTTCTGTATAGATTTAGGCCAGAGGCCTCAGGCAGCCTCCCTCTCTCACAGGAGCTGGTGACTTTTGCCAAATACATCCTGGGCAAGTTCTTTGCACTGGCTGCAGTCAACCAAAAAGCCTTTGTGGAGCTGCTGTTCTGGAAGAACACATCTGTGGTTCGAGAGATGACTGAGGGCTATGGCTCCCTGGACGGCGGGTGAGCTCGAGCATGGGCAGTAGGGGTGCGTGGCACGGTCACAGAGTATAAGCTGGAAGAGCTGACTGATGAGTTGACGTAACCGTTTTTTCCCTTTCGTAGCTGAGAAAACAGATCACAAAGGTAAAATGTTTTACTTAAGGTCACCCAAGTGAGGAATGGGACTGGAGCCTAAGTCTGCTGTCTACTCTAGTTTCCTTCTCCAGGGGGAGGGGGAGGGGTCAGTTGGCAATGGGGTGGCCCCCCAGTCCCAGAATGTGCTAGGCAACCAAAAGGATTCATAGAAATGTTTGGCTGTTCCTTAGTGTCTCAGCTCCTCTCCTTTCACACTTTTTTCTCATAATGCTCTCGGTCCCTGCAGTGTCAGGTTCCATAGGCCTAACCTGGAAAATGTCTTAGTTTAACTTTTGGATTCTTAAGTGGGAGGAGCGTGAGGGGAAGGAAGCACATCTGAGGCCTCTGCTGGCTGGCTCCCTTGGGGTAGCTCCGCTGTCCTCCTGGTTCTTTGAGAGCTGACCAGAGAAGACCTTGGGTCTCTTTTGGGGCCAACAGCCTACGTGCTTTCCCCCTCCTTTTCTCATTTAGATCTTCTAGTCGCAAACCTCCTGTGTGGAGCCCAGAGGAGGAGGCTCGGCTTCAGGAACTGTACCTTGCCCATAAGGATGTGGAAGGTACGTGGCCTTGAGGTCTGAAGAGCCTATGAGGAGGGCTGCCTGGGCTCCCACACCCCTCTTCACTGCCTTCCTCCTCCATCTCAGGTCAGGATGTGGTGGACACCATCTTGGCACACCTGAATATGCCTCGGACACGTAAGCAGGTCATCCACCATTTGGTACGGCTAGGACTGGCTGACAGTGTCAAGGACTTTCAAAGGTAGAGGCACACGTTCTGGAAGGAATTGAGATGGGCCATCCTCTGTTTACTGCCTCGGCCCACTCTGCCACTGACACCCTCCCGAACAGGAAAGGAACCCGTATCGTCCTGTGGACAGAAGATCAGGAGCTGGAGCTGCAGCGGCTGTTTGAGGAGTTCCGGGACTCAGACGGTAAGGGAGGTAGGAGCTCAGAGAATCTGATAGGAGAGCCACGCTGTGTCTTCCCCTCCTGTTCCCGAGTAAGGCTTATCCCATCCCTTCCGTCCACTTACTGTATTTGTGCTGTCACTCGTGAGTGAATTACGCCAGCCTCTGTCCTCTGATTTCCTTTACTTCTGTTTTCTCTATTGCTCTTGGGAGTTTACAGTCTCCTTCTTCGTAGATGTCCTGGGTCATATCATGAAGAATATCACAGCCAAACGCTCCCGGGCCCGAATAGTGGATAAACTGCTGGCTCTGGGGCTGGTGGCTGAGCGGAGGGAGCTGTACAAGAAACGCCGGAAGAAGTTGGTGCCCTCGGGCCTGGTAATAATCTTCCCCTGGCTCTGCTGGCATGGGACCATGCCCCTGAAGTAGCCACACTACTTTGAGTAGTAGGGGTACTGCTTGAAGTAGCCCACCCCGGATCTTCCTGTTTCGGGCTGCTCTGACGAGGTCCACCCAGAACCAGGAGGCTCCACTCAGTTCCTCATCTTGTCTCCTTTTTCATTTCCCACCCCCACTGAATTTTAGCCTAATGGAGAGGAGTCCCTAGAAGAGTTTTGCCCAGAAGATCTGGAAGAAGAGGAAGGCCTGCCAGAGGAAGAGAGTGAAGAGAATGAAGAGAAAGAGGAGGGCTCAGAAGCAGAACAAACCCCCCAGGGGAACTCAGTTCTTTCATCCGAAAACCTTGGGCAAAGCCTGCATCAGGAAGGTGAGGGCTTGGGCTGGGAGTGGTGTCTTGGGTGGGCGAGGGGGGTTGTCATATGGGCCAATGATAAGTTTCCCTCCTTCCCTTAGGCTTTTCTGGTCCTCTCCTGTGGCTGCAGAACTGCCTGCTTCAGGTAGCAGGTGATCGGGAAGAGGATGGTGAGTGGATAAATGATGGTTTCAGGAGGCCTGGGGCGCTGGAAGCTGCTGCTTGTGGGATAAAGGACCAGTTCTTTTCTTTACATCTTTACCTTATGACTGTTGACCCTGTTCTAGGCTGTTCCCAGGCAGTTCCATTGGTGCCGCTGTCAGAAGAAAATGAGGAAGCAATGGAAAATGAACAGTTTCAGCAGCTGTTGCGCAAGCTAGGGGTTCGACCTCCTGCCTCTGGGCAGGTAAATACACCAATTGCGATGCAGCCAAGCTGCATTGTTGCTGTTTCAGAATACGTCTCGTTCCGCTGACCGGGACTCCTGTGGCAGCTGTCCTGCCAGCCTTCCTGTCTCCAATTTCCCCCTTCCCTCAAGTCCATATTCCATGCTGCCCCCCAAGTTATCTTTCTAAGATAAATTTTTATTATATTACTTCTCTGTCCAGAGCACTTGATGGTTCCCTGCTGTTTGCAGGACAGATTCTAGAGCTTCCAAGTGGCATGCCTGGCTTTGGCAAATTTTTGTAGCCTCACGGGCACGCCACCCACATACCTACCTACCTTACATCACAGTCATCCTTCAAATAGTAGGCTTTTTCATACCTCCAAACACTGGGTCATGGCAGCAGCCCCTATACTGGAAGTCTCCAACCACACATCCAAACTGGAGAGTCAGTGTAGCTGCCAGCTGCTCAGAGAAACTGGCCCTGTTGCTGACAGCCCCTGAAGCAAAAGCAATCACTTTGGTAAATGAACAACTGAGGTTTGTTCATTTCCTTGATATCACCCCAATCCTATGGTGGCAGACTATTGATTTTTTTTCTCCTGTTAGATTGTAAGTTTCTTGAGGGCAGGGATCATAACTGATTTACCTTTTTAGATCCCCAGGATTCATTTATTCAACTAATGGCTATATTTACTGGGCACTGCTTCTTGTAGCAGGCACCATGCCAGACATTGAGCATTTATTGAGTAAATAAGCAGTAAGTTCATAACCCTTGTGGATTTTCACCAGTGCGGGGTCATATTTATTCAACGAATATCAAAATCTGGTGAACTAGAAGCTGGTCCTTTCCCATTGCTTTTGTTTTCAATGTCTTTGCCCCTGTAGGAAACCTTCTGGCGAATTCCAGCCAAGCTGAGTCCCATCCAGCTCCGGAGGATAGCAGCTTCTTTGAGTCAGCTGGAGAAAGAGGAAGAGCTTCAGCCAGGGCTGGACCCTAATGCCCCTGGACAGCAAGGCGCTGAGGAAGAGCACCAAAAGGGACACCAAGCACAAGCCCTGAGGGCCCTCGTGTTAGCCCGAAAAAAGAAAGCAGGTCTGGTGACCCAGTGGGTAACAGCAGGACCACTTATTGAGTACTTACCATGTGCCAGCCCTGGTGATGTGGAGGCTGATAGAGTCTTTTGAGAATTCGAGGGCCCAGTTGCCTAATTTTATGCCTCTTACAGTCATTTCAGATGCAGAGACTGCTGGTGGGAAAGAGCAGCTGAAAGTGGCACCCAAGAAGCGACAACTATTGGACAGTGATGAGGAGCAGGAGGGAGATGAGGGCAGGAGCCATGGTAGGGAGTCTGATTGGGACATGCTCTTTCTTCTCACCTCTGGCACTCTTCTCTTTAACCCTGAAGATAAATGCTACCCACTCCTTCCCCTTTAACATATTCAGATATTTCCTCTTTTTTTACCCGTGATTCCCATAGCACCAGAGCCGGGCACTCCAGGAATCCAAAAGAAGAAACGATTTCAGATTGAGGATGAAGATGACAGCGACTAAAGAGCCAGAAGCTGTCCTGGCTGGTTTGGCTCAGTGGATTGAGTGCTGGCCTGTGAACCAAAGGGTCACCAGTTCAGTTCTCAGTCAGGGCACATGCTTGGGTTGCAGGCCATGTCACCAGTAGGGGATACACAAGAGGCAACCACACAGTGATGTTTCTCTCCTTCTTTTTCTCCCTCCCTTTCCTTCTTTCTAAAAATAAATAAATAAAATATTTTTAAAATACTTTTTTTTAAAGAACCAGAAGCCAAAGGCTAGAGATAGACCCACATTTAGGTGGTGAGTTTATACAAGAGTTGGAAAGGTCATGAAGGACCAGAAGCTCCTCTCCCTGGGCAGTATAGCCCTGGGCTTCCCGGGGATTTAGGGTCCGGGAAGTTCAAACCATGGTGTTTCGCTTCTCTGCATTCACTTCTCCCATTTTTGTCAATATGACTCAGTAGCTCTCTTACTGACTTCTTGGCACCATTTCCTTGGGCTATTAGCTCCTTTAGCAAATGAAAGGAGTGAATGAAATATAGAAGACAACTTGGGTCCTTCTCAGTGAAATGTTCCTTTTGGCTGTCTGCTGAAGGCGGTCCTGGCACCAGTTGGGGAGCTTTGTGATGTGATGGGTAGGGAGCGTTGTACCATTTGGGCAGCACCGAATGCTCCCATCCTCATGTTCTCTCCGCTGGTCACCAACCCCCCCCCCACACACACACACCAGACTGAGCTCAGTTCCTGCAGTTGATGTGGGGTTGGGATGCAGTACTCCCCAGATGAAGCATGTGCTTGGTTTGTGTTTGGTATTGAAATCACCATGTAAAATTCAAAAGTTGCCAGTGTTGGTCTGACTTCCGATCTGCCTAAGTACCCTGCTGTGTTCTCAGGTGGACTTTTAACTATCAGGTTAAAACAGACCATGAGCCTTCCCTTTTCTCTTGTTTTCCCTACAGAAGACACAGAAAAGTATTCTCACCTCAAGATTCTTTCTCTAGAATAAGTCTTTGGGGTGACAGGAGTTTGCAGCAGGAAGAAACAGGAGCCGCGAAGGGAGAAAAAGCCAGTTGGTCTGCGCGGGGCAGGGCAGAGGGAAAGACAAAGTCTAGGCAAGCAGGGTAAATACCGTGATTATCATTCCGGTCCCTGTCCTTGGAAACCATCAGCTTTCTGGCCCTCTTGTGCTCCCAGCTAAGGTAAGGTAGGTGTGGGCTTCAGGAGACAGCCGTTCAGATCAGGGAGAACCCAAGATAAGGGATGGGTCTAGACTTGTTTCTCTCACTTGGTTTTTTTTTTCTTCCGTAGCCTCTAACGATAGAATGAATGTGTTTGGTTTGTGTCTGGTATTGAATTAAACATGTGCACCCTACTGTAAACCATGGACTTAGGTAATAATAGTTAATAATACATAATACTCAAATAATAAAATTTTAAGATAATTGTAACTAATATACCACACCAACATAAGATGTAATGGGGGAAACTGAGGGATTGATGAAGGGAATATTTGGGGACAATCTATACTTTCTGCTCAGTTTTATAAACCTAAAACTACTCTAAAAAATAAATGCCACTAATTAAAATAAAACCCATAAACAAAACAGAAACAAACTCATGGATACAGGGAACAAACTGTTGGTTGCCAGATAAGAGGGGGTTGAGGGGCTGGGAGACAAAGGTGAAGGGATTAAGGGGTACAAATTGGCAGACAGAATAGTCACAAGGTGTAAAGTACAGCATGGGGAACACAGCAATACACCTACATATGCTGCCAGTTGGGTACTAGACTTAACCGGGGCATCACTTCGTACATTACATAAATGTCTAACCACTATGCTGTACCACCAAGACTAATCTAATATCAATGTCAATGGTAATTGAAAAAATAAAACCCCTAAAAGATCCAACACCCAAGAAGTGACAACTAATGTGAATTGATGAGGAACAGGTGGAAGATGAGGGTGGGGCAAAAATGGGCCGTTTAAGTGAGGGGACATGCATTTGTCTTCAGGCCTCCGTCATTCTCAGCCTTGGAGACAAACCCCACCATTTTCCCGTCCCCCTACCGTAGTTACACAGTCTTCCTTGTCATTTCCAATGCACCCGAGTTGGAAATTGAAGGAATTTCAACAAGGCATTTTTGTATGGAGGATAAGGACATTAAGAACTGGAGATGGAGATGGGCCCAGTTGTGCATGGTGGACTCAAGTCAGAAGTGGGAGAATGTGAAGGATCCAGGAATTTCAGGCAACAATGTGAGATGCCTCTGCATCCAGTTCTTCCTCCTGATTTTTTTAATATAAAATTTTCTTAAAGTTGTCAAATTAGTCTGATTTGGATTTTTTAAATGTTTCTGAGCTAGCATTTTCTATAAGAATAATTCTGCCCTGGCTGGTGTGGCTCAGTGGATTCAGTGCAGGCCTGTGAAACAAAGGATCGATGTTCAATTCCCAGTCAGGGCGCATGCCTGGGTTGCAGGCTAGTTCCCTGCGGGGGACACATGAGAGACAACCACACATTGATGTTTCTCTCCCACTCTTTCTCCTTCCCTTCCCCCTCTCTAAAAAATAAATAAATAAAATATATTTTTTTAAAGAATAATTCTTCCCTGAGCTTCATTCAACCTGAGTCAGCTTCTCACCTTCCTCTCTGAACAACATGAGCTTCAGCACACACTCCAGCTTCTCCACAAGCGACCAGACTCTGGGCTCCGTGCAGTTGCCCAGCTACCGGGTCCGGCCAACCAGCAGCACAGCCAGTGTCTATGCAGGTGCCAGGAGCTCGGGCTCCTGGATCTCCACATCCTGCTCCACTAGCTTGCGGGGTAGCTGGGGATCCAGGGGCCTGGCTGCAGGGATGGCTGGGGGCATCTAAAGTGAGAAGGAGACTATGCAATCAATGCCTGAATGACTGCCTGGCCACCTACCTGGAGAGGGTGAAAAGCCTAGAAGCTGATGATTGGAGACTGGAGATCAAAATTGGGGAACACGTAGAGAAGAAGGGACCCCAGGTCAGAGACTTGGAGAATTTCAAGACCATCAAGGGCCTGAGGACTCAGATCTTTGCAAATTCTGTGGACAATGCCTGCATTGTTCTGCAGATTGACAATGCCCATCTTGTTGCTGATGACTTCAGAGTCAAGTATGAGGGGGAGCTGGCCATGTGCCAGTCTGTGGAGAATAACATCAGTGAGCTCCGACAGGTCATTGACACCAATATTACCCAGCTGCATCTGGAGACAGATAGAGGCTCTCAAGGAGGAGCTGCTCTTCATGAAGAAGAACCATGAGGAGGAAGTAAATGGTCTACAAAACCAGGTCTGCCAACTCTGGGTTGACCGTGGAATTGGATGCCCTCAAATCTCAGGACCTTGGCAGAATCATGGCAGACATCAGGGCCCAGTATCACAAGCTGGCTCGGAAGAACCAAGAGGAGCTGAATGAGTACTGGTCCCATCAGATTGAAGAGAGCACCACAGTGGTCACCTCCCAGACCGCTGAGATAGGCACTGCTGAGATGACACAGTTGAGACTTACGGTCCAGTCATTGGAGATCAACCTGGACTCAACAAGGAATCTGAAAGTTAGTTTGGAGAACAGCCTTAGGGAGGTGGAGACGTGCTACTCATGCAAATGGAGCAACTCAACAGGATCCTGCTACACCTGGAGTCAGAGCTGGCCCAACCCGGGCAGAGGGGGCAGTGCCAGGCCCAGGAGTATGAGGCTCTGCTGAACATCAAGGTCAAGCTGGAGGCTGAGAGTGCCACCTACCGCAGCCTACTGGAAGAAGGGGAGGACTTCAATCTTGTTTGACGCCCTGGACAAGAGCCCTTCCTTACAAACCATCTGAAAGACCAACCCACAGGACTGTGGACAGCAGAATAGTGTCTGAGCTCAATGACACCAAAGTTCTGAAACATTAAAGGCAGCAGAAGTGGAGCACCTTGGAGGGGGCAGGAGGCCAATTAAAAGTTCAGAGTTCAGCCCTGGCTGGTGTGGCTCAGTGGAGTGAGCACGGGCTTGTGAAGCAAAGGGTGACTGGTCCTATTCCCATTCGGGGCACATGCCTGGGTTGTGGGCCAGGTCCTCAGTAGGGGACACATAAGAGGCAAACCACACATTGATGTTTCCCACTCTTCCTCCCCTTCCTGAGACATCTCTCAAATAATAAATAAATTAAATATTTTTTAAAAAAAGTTCAGGGTTCATTGAGCGTTAAAAGTAATAATAGGCCCTGGTATAGCTCAGTTGATTGAGTGTGGGCCTGTGAACCAGAGGATCATGGTTTGATTCCCAGTCAGGGCACATGTCCGGGTTACAGGCCAGTTCCCAGCAGGGGATGCATGAGAGGCAACCACACATTGATATTTCTCTCCCTCTTCCCTTCCCCTCTAAATATAAATAAATAAAATCTTTTTTAAAAAGTAATAATTCTTCCCTGCAAGTTAAACACATTTAAAATATTAAAGGTACACTTTTCTGTATATTTTGTGAATATTTGATTTGTTTAGGCACCTGTTTATAAACCTTCAAGAGTCAAGCTCCTTTAACTTGAGAGGTAATTATTAACAATCTCTAGATGCAGGGAAATAATATTTCACAGTTGCACAAAAGAGGTAAAGGCTGTTTTAAATTCTAGGCATAAACACAGAGACCTTATAGCTTCAGTTGTGTGACTTCAGCCATGGATCAAAATAAACAAAGGCTCACCTATCCTGATCTCAAACACTGCCTTCACAGTGGGCATCAGATACCTGGTTGATTGAATTGAGCTCACAAAGAAGCAAACAGGCAAACAACCAAAACAACAAAATAGATTCTTTGTCATCAAATAGGAAATGTCTCTTTCATCCATCCAACAGAGATCCCCAGATCATCAGGTAACATCAGCAAATTTTCTCATTGCTACCATTAATGGTGAATAATTGATTGGCCTTGCATAAACCAGAAACAAAGACAAAACCATGAAATCAGAAAATAAAGCCCCACTGGAATACACAGTTAAGTTTTATCAGTGCTTGAGAATCACTTTGGAAGCCAAGAAAGACATGTCTGGGCTTAAGCAACCCACAGCAAGGCAGTTTAATTGGCTCTGTCAGGTAAGTCCTTGTGGACATCTTGACCTTTGAAAGAGCTGAAGTAAATTGCAGAAAGGTAAGATCTTGACTATCTTGCAAACATAAAATAAGCTCATGCCTGCAAAGCCATCAACTGTGACCGTGGCATTCTCTTTTCCACTGGGCAGAAATTATATGCATCTATACCAGACAAAGAAAATTCACAAATCAACCTGCCCCAGTGGAGTTGTAAAATAGTACAGTCAGTACAGAGTCAAAGGTGCAAGCCCAGCACTGCTCTAAAAGAACACTTAAAAATCTTTGCCTAATAGGCCAGGTATTGAAAGACAAATACCATATGATCTCACCTTTAACAGGAAGCTAAACAACAAAACAAACAAGCAAGCAGAAAAAAAACAAAGACACTGAAATAGAGAACAAGGGGACAGTGACCAGAGGGGAGAGGGAAGGGAATTTAAGGGGGAAAAGGGGGAGGGATTTGGAGGAACAAATAGGAAGGACACAGGGACGAGAACTAAGGGGGGGTAGAAATGGGAGGGAGATGGGGAGCAGGGGGCAGGAGGGGCTGGGATGGGAGAAATAGAGAAAAAACTGTACTTGAAAAATAACTAAAAATTTTTTTTAAATCTTTGCCTGTTTCTGCTCCCACATTTTGCCTAGCACTTTTTTTCTTGTGGTAGGACTAGGGTGCCAAAGTAAGAAGTAAGTAAGGACAAGAAGTAAGTTCTCATTTATGATAACAGTAACCAGTATTTTAAATTGCTGCTGAAGCTGAGTGCTTTTGTAGATAATGTCTTTCTGTTTCCCCGCCATGTAAACTTAATTTCTGTGCTCTGAATTACTCCTAGAATGAAATCTGGCCTATCGACTTATTTATTTATTTATTTATTCATTCATTCATTCATTCATTCATTTTGCCCTGACTGGTGTGGCTCAGTGGATTGAGTGCAGGCCTGTGAAACAAAGGATTGCAGGGTCCATTTCTAGTCAGGGCACATGCCTGGGTTGCAGTCCAGGTCCAGTCTCCAGTAGCATGTGAGAGGCAACCACACTGATGTTTCTCTTATTCTCTGTCTAAAATCAGTAAATAAAATCTTTAAAACTAAAAAATAAATCTGGGCTTTTTTAAACATTAAAGTTGACATTTTAATTCAATATTGCTGTAAGGATTGAACAACATTAAAAACAAGTACATTAGTGGCTTAAGAATGCATGCTAATGTTTAGTTTGAAGCAGATTTTTGCTTGCTAGTTCTCAACAGCAAAATGATGCTAGGAAAATGTTTTAGAAGACAGTTCTCTCTGAATGTAAGTCTAAAATGCTTCAAAGGGATTAAAGGTTTTTTAAAGACCCAAATCGAAATAACTCAATATTATCAACATTTCATTTGAATCCTAAAAGACTGACATCATAAACATTACATATTTCTTAGAAAAATGGCTGAGAAATTAACAAATCAGCATTTCCTAGAGATTGCCATCCTAGATCATCATGAGCATCTGGCTGTGGTTCATCCACCACCACCTTCTTTGTTCTAAATGCTTCTTAGTTTCCATCTGGGGAACACTAAAGGCGCCGCGAGGAAAAGAGATGCAGAGATGGGTGCCCATTTCTCCTGTGGTCCCTCTCAACGGAGCAATTAGGCAAATAGTGAGAAAAATGCATATAACCCATACCTTATAGTCCCCACAAGGCTTCACCCAATTTGAAAAACTAAATAAAAACAGCCCTGGCTGGTGTGGCTCTGGATTGAGTGCTGGCTTGCGAACTGAAAGGTCACCTGTTTGATTCCCAGTCAGGGAACATGCCTAGGTTGCAGGCCAGGTGCCAGTTAGGGGCATGTGAGCGGCAAATAATCAATGTATCTCTTGCACGCTGATGTTTCCCTCTCTCCCTTCGCCTCTCTAAAAATAAGTAAAATATTGAAAAAGAAAAGTTGCCAGTTCTGTCAAATATGCCAACATTCCAATAAGGTATTTATGACATAGAATCTTTACTTTCTGTCAGTATGTGCTGAAGCTACAGATGTTGATACACGAACCAATCTTGTGGCTGATTGAGTTGAAATCCTATGGACATACGAATAAAGGCAGTCAACTTCCTCCTGGGTAAATTCCCCAGGTGTCTTGTAGAGAATGTCCCACAAAGCTCTTGCATCCTCTGGATGCATGACATCAGAAATGTACAGACCTTGAGGGCTACGGGGTATAGACCAAAGAAATTCAGTGTAGTCCATAACAGTCTGTTTTGCATGCAGTCCACAGAAGAGCCATCCAGAAAAGATGAAATGCATCTTTTTGTGTTTGATTGCTAAGGGACTGAAATAAGTCAAAAGTTTTATGAAACCAGGTTCCAATTATGGCTGCATTAGTCTCTGCTCCATTTGCGA